CCGCTCTGTCTTCAGAGAATCGATGAAGAGGCGCATCACTTGCGAGCGGCTTGACAAACTTCATGTGAACAATGGAGTGAACCAGCATCGACATAAGGCCATACATGAGAGCTAAACAGAGCAATAGCTTATAGCCAGTCGCATCATCGGAATTGAATCGGAGAGCCATCTCCACCAGCTCAACGATCTGATCTGAACTCTGTAAATTTGGCGCGACGATGCCAATGTGAACTAATTTGCATAATCCGCTGTCTTCGAGCCGTTCTATTTATACAAAATGCTTAAGATGAAAATTATGTGCTAATCATCGGTTAAGCCACCGATAGACGGCGAATTATAGAAACGAGCTGCCAAAACGACGCCGTTTTTTTGTAATATAATTCTATGCTACGCGTGTATTTTGAAGATTCCATTTAATGCAATCGTGCCCGTTTAATTGGCATCTAATAACGTTTGGATTTTTGTGAATGGTGACGATTGCGTGCTCAGAAAGGGATTTTGGAATCAGGATGCATCCAAATAAGTTTGTTGGATGATTTCAAGTGTTATAATTAATTATTCAAAATTATTCTACAAAATCGTAAAAAATAATAATAATAATAATAATAAAAGTAGTTTTAAGTCAATTAATATATAAGAGAAATAGTGGAGTAGCTGATAAATTTAAAAAAACTATATTAACTGATTTTAAGGATAAGTTAATGATGCCTTTATTGAATAATTTGTCCCTTCCCAAACGTTTTTCGACTTAAATACGTGGAACAACCATATAATGTCGTGCCTAAATATATTTCTTTTATTTGATGCTTTTCTGCCTTTTTATTATTTTTTTTTAAGAAACATATGAGTTGTTCGTGTTTTATTACCACGTTTGGAATCAATTTTAGATAAGAGTACAAATCAAGACCATCATACCCCATGACTTCTGTTAACAATGATCGATATGCTAAACTATATTAAAATAGACCATAATCGCAAAATTATGGTATAGTTAGATGATTTTCGTCCATATATTAATAACAAAAAATTGTTGTTAATGGTAAAAGCATATTTGAAACAAATTACTAACAAACAAATTTTTTTTTTTTTTTTTAATATAAAGTTATTATTTAAATCTTCAAAGTTTAGGTATATTTTTTAATGATATTTTTATTAATTTAGATTAAAAAATGAGGGTACTTTTGCAATTTCTTTAATATTGATGGGCATTTTGAATGATATTTTGTATAATTTATCCAAGGTTAATAATAATTAGATCTCTTTTCAACGCAACCACACACACACACACACATATATATATATTTTAAAAATTTTGTATATTTTTACTTAAGATAAATTACATTAAACATTTTTATTAATTTAGATTAAAAAATGAGAGGTATTTTTGGAATTTAATATTCATGGGTATTTTTTAATGGTAATTTCCATAATTTTACCAATGTTAATAATAACTCGTTCTCTTTTGAACGCAACCGAGAAACGAATCGTCTGGTTATAATTCACAAGAACTCGGTTCAGAGAGAATTTGTGGGCGACGATCTCCGGAAATGTATCGAAAAGCTACATTGTTCCTCGTATTTTCAGTCATCTTCTTCATATCTTGTTTAGTTCTTGTCGGAACCGTCGACATCAGATCGTGCTTCTTCACTCTGCTTCAGTCTCGGCCAATTTCCCCATTCCCATGCGCCGCCGACTCTCCTCTCCGGGTGTACATGTACGATCTTCCCCGTCGTTTTAATGTCGGGATTATGAATCGCCGAAACTTGGACCAGACTCCAGTCACCGCCTCCACCTGGCCGCCATGGCCCAAAAACTGGGGATTGAAGCGGCAGCATAGTGTGGAGTATTGGATGATGGGTTCGCTTATACATGAAGGTGCTGGCGATGGCAGAGACGTGGTTAGAGTCATGGATCCAGAGAATGCCGATGCCTTCTTTGTGCCATTTTTCTCTTCGTTGAGTTTCAATTCACATGGACACAACATGACCGATCCGGCCACGGAGATTGATCACCAATTGCAGGTACCTTGTACTTGGTTATACAATTTTAAGTTCGTGGCTCTTGTGGAATTATGTAGTTTCGTATCAATTCCTTATTTAGAGCATTGCAATATCCTCTATTAAGGCATTGGATGCTTTAACTATAGCATGTCTAGTATGTTTCAAATTGATTGTGCTACATTTAGCTGATTCTAGTGCAGTTCTTGGATTGTGATGATATTCAATTTTCCATCTACGCTTCTGTTGATGGCTTTACAATGAGCAAGTGGATATAAAGGGGGAAAGCTCTACTGTATTCTTACTGAAAAGTGAATCCAATACAGTTTAACCATCTCTTATTGAGTGAATTTTTCAGATCAGGGATAGACATGTTAGTTTATATGATCAGACAGATGCAAATCCTGTGGTTGCAAGTCCTGTCAATGTCTTCCTACATTTTGGAATGCTTAATGAAAGTAGGTTCCATCCTTTGTTATTTTTCCAAAGAAACATCCGTTTGACTTCTCACCCCAGAGATCTATAGATTTGGTTTTACTATGTTCTTCTGATTGTCATCATCTAATTTGTCATACTATTAGGATTTTCTTATTTATAGTTTTATATTATTAGTTTTGAAAGCGTTGAAAAGAAAGTTATATGAACTTTTTTTTGACGAGTGATGTAGCTAAAGTGAATTGTACTTCAGTCAATTGATTGGCTTACTGATGTTTCCTCAGATCGAACTTATGAAATTCTTGAGCGAATCCAAGTATTGGCAGAGGTCTAGGGGTAGAGACCATGTTATTCCCATGACACATCCTAATGCCTTCAGATTTCTCCGAGACCAGGTGAATGCCTCGATACAAATTGTAGTGGATTTCGGCCGCTATCCAAAAGCCATGTCGAATTTGGGAAAAGACGTGGTAGCTCCGTATGTGCATGTCGTGAGTTCTTTCATTGATGATGACCCTCCGGATCCATTCGAGTCTCGGAAGACATTACTCTTCTTTCAGGGAAAGACGTTCAGAAAAGATGTAAGTGACTAAAGTTTCATGGCTGATACATACCCTCCCATTCCAAAATGGGGATTCTTTTCTTGGGGAAGGAGAGCTGTGTTTTGACTTGTAATTGTTAGTAACTGATATTTCCTATCAACATGTTTCAGGATGGAATTATTCGTGTCAAACTGGCTAAGATATTAGATGGATACGTTGATGTTCACTATGAACGTAGCGCTGCAACGGAGAAAAGCATAAAAACGGTATGATGTAGGTGCAGTTAGCTTATTGCTAAATAATTTCCATTTGACCATTTGTATTGGAAAAACTTTGTGCATTCTACTCTGCTGCTTTAAACTCTCAACCATTTTTCTTATCAATACTTGTTGTATGCTTTCAATCAAAAGCCCATAATCTTTTTTCTCATGTCTAATCTAAAAATGGGGTGGTTTTGGATGGTAGGAAGAGAAGGTAGAGGTCCAAGAGACAAGATAATTTTGTGAACAGTATACTACTTTTACCTTTTGAATTTCTCTTCTGTGGGTAGAGCCTAGGTTCCTTCCCTTTGCTCACCAAGACAAATGAACTTTTTGAAGAAGAAAAGTTTGTTTTCATATGGGTAGGTCTGTTTTGTGTAAGGTTTTATGGCTAGGAACTAATAAAAGAAAATCCAGTGTATCTCATTATTTTCTATTTCTTCTGTTACTCCAGTCTTCTGAAGGGATGCGTTCATCAAAGTTCTGCCTGCATCCCGCAGGAGACACTCCATCATCGTGTCGGCTATTTGATGCTATCGTAAACCACTGTGTTCCAGTCATCGTTAGCGATCAAATAGAGCTGCCATTTGAGGATGAAATTGACTATACTCGATTCTCGTTGTTTTTTTCGTTTGAAGAGGCACTTCAACCTGGTTACATGGTTGATAGACTCAGGCAATTTCCTAATGAGAGATGGATTGAAATGTGGAAGCAACTAAAGACTATCTCCCATCACTATGAATTTCAGTACCCTCCTGAAAATGAAGATGCCGTCAACATGTTATGGAGACAGGTTAAGCACAGGCTTCCCGCTGTCAAACTTGCTGTTCACCGAAGTAGACGGTTGAAAATCCCGGACTGGTGGCGAAGAAGATGAACACTGTAGCCCTGTTTTTTCTGGTACAGCATCTCTCAACTCTCACTTCCCTAACAATTCAAAGTAAATCATCAACTTTCCACTTCTGATTTCGATAATCTTCCTCGTCTCAAGCTTCGCGGATTGATATTCAGTTGTAGTTTCACATTCTTTAAAAAAAATGAGACCACCCTTGTAATATGGCTCATGAGCTTGACTGGCTTGAGAGTGTTCTAATTGTGGAGGCAGGCTTTTTGAGAAATTTTGGGGATTTTGTTTTTGAGCAGGCTGTTTGTAATAGGAATTCTTTTGTATTTTCATGTCTTGGATCATGTCATTGTCGTAAGATCCAAAATGGTTATAGATATTGTATTCTTGCAGTTATACAAATTGATTAGGTAGAAAATATTGGCATCATTTTGAGATGTATCGTACTTGTGATTACAGTCACTTGTCAATACTACTTAATTTTTATTGAAAAAAAAAGTGAAATTCAAAGCATAAAGGTATAATAATTGTAATATATAGTACAATTTAACCTAATTGAACCCAAATAATAATAATAATCATAAAAGACAATATTTGTTAAAGAACATAGGAAGAAAAGTATTTGGTATTAATTGTATTAATTCCAACGTTCAAATCATTTTGTTGGGACTTAACAGCAACAAAAAGTAAGAAATTCTATAATTTAATTGAGAATATATGCCATTAATAACGCTAAAGTTCCTCAAATGGCTGTAAAGATTGGACCCAAGATGCCCATTTAATTCTCTCTTTATTTATATGATCATAAACATAAAGAAGTGTAATGATATAAATTAAGGTATAACTTCTTACTTCAAGCTAAATGTGGAGGTGGCCCCCACTAGTCAATCCTCAATCTTTTAAAGCTCTTGATTATTCCTTCAAAAAATTGTTAACAAAAACAAAAAATTGAGATATAATATAACAATACCTATGGAGGAAGCAATTCGTTGGAGCTGTGAAGTCACTAACGCCAATGTCTTTATCAGTTTCATTGAGTCCTTCACAATCTTGGTATCCCTAACCTCTCTCCATTCTACTTTCAACCTGCAATTAGAAAGCACACAAGTAATAATAATTATTAAAAACAAAACAAAACAAAAAAAAAAAAGGCAGAAAAAGGTGAGAGCAAGCAAACAAACAAACCTACAATTAGAAATTTGAGGAAACCAAAATCTTGTTTTTGCAGCAACTAATATAAAGCAAGCTCTGTTTCAGATCAAATTTTTCATGTACATAACCAACCAACAGCATTTGTCTCACTAAACATGAAGTATTTTTTTTCTTTCAATATTTTTCTTTCTTTCTGTTGGAGCTTCCCTCCTTCCTTTTATCCAACATAATCATGCAAATCATGCTTTAATGAGTTCTAACATGCATCGTCAACATGTAGTCCTGCTTTCTTGATCCGAAAAGTGCATTGTTGGAACTCGATTGAAACGCCACATGACTCGAAATTTAGAGGTTGCCGCTAAAAGACAAGTGTTTCATCCTACTATTTTTGATTGCCATACAAAGTAAGGCTAATTTTGTATTCATAATCCTATTGATTGCTTGAGAATCAAGGCTTTAGTTTAGTCGTTTTTTTTTTTTTTTTTTCCC